AGTCCCCATTAATGGATTCCAAATTGCCTGTATCAGGAACAAACTGGAAACAAGGCAGTAATAAGGAAGGCTCTCGTGCATTCGGATCTGTGCGCCTGTCTAAATATAGCTGCCTGTAGGACATAAGTTCAAGTGCAATTATTGGGCTGAAAGGCCTATGCAGTTATAATTTTGATACAGATAATGCCACACTGCCCTCTAGGGAGGTTCCACAAATTTGTCATCCCACTAGCAGGCATATGGGAGTTAATCATGCACTTAAAATCTCACAGGTGAAGTGTAGTTTGTTACTTCAGTCACATTTATCTTCACTTTCTGATAGCATGTATAGTAGAATGCAGCAATAAGATGAAAATTAACTAATTATTTATATGTTAATGAAGTTTGTATTCTTAGGTTTTTGTGACCGTTAAAAATCTTGATTCAAAGGTTAGTTTAGGGGTAAAGCAATTTTTTTAAAGCAATCCTTTAATTTTAAGTATATTTCTTGCCACATTTTTTATGGTGGTAGTGTACATAGCATAAGCATGGCCATTTTAGCCCTCTAAGTGCACAATTCTGTGGCGTTAATCACACTCTCATTATTATACAAGCATCACTGCCATCCACCTCCAGAACCTTTTCATCTTCCCAAACTGGGGCTCCTTACCCCTTTATCCCTAGCCACCCATCATTCTACTTTCTTTCTCTGTGAATTTGACTGCTCTAGGTTTCCGTGTGTGTTTTTCCAATGTTGAAGATTTGAAGGGAGGAAGAACACGTAGCAGAAGTTGCAGAGATAAACGTGAGAACTCCCCCAGGAGCGCCTGAAGTTACTTCTTCCCCACTTTGCGTTTAGAGTGCACGCGGTCGGGATGGAAGGTGGGCGTGTGGTATCCCGGCTTCTAGGATACGTGCTCAAGGCGTGTCGGCTGAATGGGTTGATGAATCGATGAAAACAGCGTACTACGCGACACAACCTAGAGACGCTGAAATCTCTCCCTCTGATGAAGCTCACGTTTTTGCGTTTGTTATTCCGTAGGAGACTGACATCTTCCAATAACAGACCTCGAGAAGACAGCTGGTTAAAATCCTTATTTGTCCGGAAAGTTGATCCAAGAAAAGATGCTCACTCTAATCTCCTAGCCAAAAAGGAAACAAGCAGTCTGTACAAATTACAGTGTGAGTCATAGGTTTGCTATCTTCATAGTTGACTTTTTTCCCTCTGTTCGTAAGTTTATCGTTGAATTTTCTTTTGTTTCAGTTCACAATGTTAAACCGGAATGCCTAGAAGCATACAACAAAATTTGGTGTGTATACCAAACTATCCTTTACTTGGGGAAAAATAACACTTTTAGTGTCTGTTGGTTGAGCTAACCCTTGAGAGCAGAGCAGGCACATTCACACCACTTCTTAAAGCTCAGAGACTCTTAAATTGAGCTCTGCGTGGGATTACCAAGGGCGTTGTGATTTTAGGCACTCAGTCAGCTAAGTCATCACACAGGCTGTCAGACTGGGGATGGTACTAGACTCCTAAGGTTAGAAGGAACCTTGCAGGGCTGTCTAGCCCGTCTGCACATCCAGACTGCAGGCCCTCCTGACTGCTGCCTCTGCTTAAATGCATCCGTATCTTCCATCTCTGGGCAGCTTCCAGTGTTAGGAGTTAGAGCTGTGACCTCCATTGTTTCCAGTTTTACTCCTAAGTAGCACCACCATGTGAGAGCCCCTTCTGTGGTGGATTGTAGCCGCCATTTCTTCCCAAATCTTCCGTTCCCAGGATTCGGGTCCCTCCAGCAGATTCTCATATGATGTGAATTCCATGTGCTCTTGTAGAATTTATAAACTTTAAAGAGAATTAAGTGCATCAGTTCTTAAGTTAATAGAAATAGCATTTTAATGATCAATTGTCAGCAAATATAATTTAAAAGCATTTTCTTCACCTTTCATGTCTGCTGCTTTCATGAGAAAGCAAATGATTTTGTCACCAGAATCAGGTTAACTTTCAGAAGCAAAAAAAAAAAAATCTTTTGTTGTTTTATTTTTGGAGGTGGTTCGTGAAATGTAACCTTAGCATAGTTTCTCACTCACCTCAGCACAGTTCTCTTTATTTAAAAAAATGCCCTAAAACGAAGCAGGCGCTTTTTTCTGAATCTTTTCTCATAAAATGAAATTTTTCTGAATGGATTATCTTTTCTGCCCTGTTTTTGTCACTTCATCTCCTGCCCCAGATTTCTGGCTGTCTGTTCATATTTCTATTTGGACGTCTTGCTCTCACTTCACACTCAGTGTGTAGACTCACCTTGCCCTCCCAGATTCCCCATGTGTGGCGCGCCCCGTGGTTTGTTGGTTTGTTTCGTGGTGAGTTGGTCCCTAAGGGCTGCGCGTTCTTCACTTGCGTGCTTGTTGTTTCCCTGTGCTCGTTCCCCCTCCGGCTCCCTCCCTAGGCCTGCTGAGGCCCGGGTCCTTCTGCCCGCCCCCTGGGCTTGACGCTGTACCCGTGCCCCACCCTGCTGCAGTGCGTTACCTAAACGTCTGTCACAGTCATCTGCTTGCGTTCTCTTTTCTCCTTCATCATGTTTTTTCTTTTTCTTTTCTCTGAAACTTCCAGCAGCTCCCTGTTTCCAGTACATAAAAACTTAACTCTTACCCGATTTTTAGGAGCCCAAATAATGAGGTTCCGCCCAACCCATCAAGTTCCTTGTGCAAGTGCTACTGACCTTACAACCTCGGTTCACCTGGGTCATCTGTACTGATGTCCATCTCCGCACCCCACCGCCCGGCTCCAGTTCTGGGTTGTTTACCTCCCGCTCACGTCATGTGGCAGAAAGGAAGCCCGTTTCCCTCTCCCTAACATAATCCATCTTTCCCCACCCCCATTTCTGTCAACCCCATGTTATTTCTGAACATTCAGGGGTCATACAGCAGATAGATTTAGTATGAGATCTAAATTTTCAAAGTCAGTGCTTCCCTTCAAAAAATACATGTGGTTTGATCATTGTACTGGGTCATAGAAACATTTTTGAGTTTTCAGTTAGACTGAAGACCATTCAAAGCTTTTCTCTCTTAACTGTTCATATGCCCAATCCTGGTGTCCCAGCATCTGGTGCTGATAATTAGCTTAGTATTGCTGGGTTTCAGCAAATAATTTGAACAGGTTCCATTCCTGACCCTTGAGATCTTTTTGCATCCATTGTTGAGTCTGTATTATATTCATAATTTATTCAAACAGCCTGCAGGTCTCAGCTTTGCTCCTGGTCCTACACAGTGTGCCTCTCCCCTTTGCCTTTCCCTGTCCATTAGAGCCTGTGCTATAGGAAGGGCTCCACGGAACCAGGCTGTGACACCTTTGTCAAATTAATACGCGGCCATGACCGTGTCCAGTCAGTGGTCATAGGTATGTCCAGTGTGAGATTATGTGAGATCTTTCAGATCCCCTCAGCCGGTTGCATTGAGTAGAAGTGAATTTACGCTTCACGTTGTATCTTTCGTTTGGCTGCTTCTGCCCCGTTGACGCCCTTGGGACTGTTGGGGTGGGGCTGCTTCCAGCCCCTGCTGGGTTCCGCTCCGTTGTCTTCCTCCTCGAGGCCCGCTCGTCCTCTGCCTTCCAGGCCGCTTCTGCTCTCTCCCCTTCTCTGCACATTACTTTCGGCCCTTTCTTCTTCCACCTTCTTTTTCTACTGTTCCCGTTTCTCTCATTCTTCCTGTCTTTGGAACCAGCAGAATTTAGCCTTTATAAACCTCACCATTCCTAAGTGCTTCTTTTTTTTTTCTCCTGAAACAGCAAATACTGGACTAGGAATTTGGGAACTATTGGCTCTTTGTCATTTTTATCACTATGCTTGAGTTCCTTACCACCGTTGTAGAGAGCTGAGGTGTCAGTCACCTAAGCTTCTGATAAGCGGGATGTCAGAGTACAACAGAATTCAGCTAAAAGGGTAATTCTGCACATCATTTTATTGTAATGTATTCTGAGGTCAGTTGTCAGAACACAGAATAGATCCTGTTATTGATCATCTGTTGTCCACCTGGAATAATTTTGTTGGTTGTTTAATTAGTGTTGCTGTTTCTTCTCTTTAAGTCAAGAGGTGTTGCCAAAGATCCATGAAGACAAACATTACCCTTGTACTTTGGTGGGGACTTGGAACACGTGGTATGGCGAGCAGGATCAAGCTGGTAGGAAGCAGAAGTCTTTGGAATAAACACTTGTTCCTTAAGCCTTGACTGTAATTACTTAACTGATTCTTAATGTAATGCTTGTTTTTATAATCAAAGCTTTCAAAGTCTCAGTCTAGTCTTCTGGTTAAAGTAGTATCTCCAGTAATTCATTGCAAAAACTCCTTTTTAAAAAATTTTTTATATTTGAATCTATTATTGAAACTTGATGGTGTGACTCAGGCGCCAACACATGGCACACTGTAGTTTTGTGCTGTGTTAGCACTATCATATGTGGAGCATTTTCAAGATAAGAGTATCATGAAAGTCTAAATGTATGTTACCTTTTAAAAATGTATTTCAGTTCACCTCTGGAGGTATGAAGGAGGCTATCCAGCCCTCACGGAGGTCATGAGTAAACTCAGAGAAAATCAGGTAATCTTGAAAAATGTTTACTTATTCAGACTAACGATGTAGTAGATATTAGTACAGAATTAAATGACTTTTCTGTCATCAGTTTCTGTTAGTGAACTGTTAGTTTTTTACGGTAAAAATGTTATTATTTGGACTCTTGAGGTTGTATTTAAACGTAAAGTAACCAGTTGTAACACTACCAAAATAACAGTTCTTATTGTGAAAGTCAGTTTTACTTTGAAACTGATAAGCTGGTACTTTGAAACTGGTAAGTCGGCACCACAGACACAGCCAGCTGTGAGTGCCTAACACTTACCTGTCGCGGAGCTCCCAGCCATGCCTCCTTTACCTGGGCTGACTTTGCTGTCCGCCCCTCCCTTCACTAACAGGTGTGTGTTAATGGAGAAAATTTTAACAGCCACACCTTATTAGGAAAGAAAACCTTTTGTGTAGGTTTCTAGTCCATATATGAATGCCTTTGGGGTTATCTGATGCTGTGAGGTCTTCTTGTCACCTCCATTAGTATGCTGTCAGACACTGTTGGGAGAACCTGAAAATGTAGGAAATTAAATGTGTTTACATTGTCATTTAAATAATTAGAATGACTGTGTGGTTTGTCATCTAAACCTAGACACTTTTGAGAGTGAAGGGGATGCTATAGTCATTATACCAGTTCAACAAAATATAAACTGGGATGGCCTCAGGCCCACTGGACCCTGTTTGTAATAGTATTCCGTCAGAGGAGGAACATAAATGTTACCAAAGTGGGTTTATATATAAGTATTAGAAGATTTCATGAGCACACTTTTTCACTCACAGGAATTCGTGGAGTTCCGTAAGGCGAGAAGCAACATGCTGCTCTCAAGGAGGAATCAGCTGCTGCTGGAGTTCAGCTTCTGGAATGAGCCTGTCCCACGGTCAGGACCGAATATATATGAGCTCCGATCTTACCAGCTCCGAGTAAGTGCTGAAATGGGGGTTAGCCGTCCCCTCGTCCTCCGTGCGCGGGAATGTGCATGCCTGCTGCTGAGCAGACCGTGGGCGCCGGGCACGCTGTGTGACGTGTGTTTGGCTTGTATTCTCCCCGTCCGGTCCTTTGTTGTAATCTTTCTTTTTCATTCCTTCTCTTCTGCTAAGCTTGTTGGTTTTTTTTATAATCTTATACAGACCGTTTATTATTTGACATTTTCCACATAACGTTCCTGTTTTTAAGAGGAAAGACCTAAAATGCAGGACCAGCTAGATTATATGGCATCTGTTGTCATTGAACTGGAGCAGCTAATGCGCGTGTGACTGTTGCGCACGTTATGTAGCACCCTAAGAGGACAGGGGAGCCGTATTTGTTTGACTTTCTAGATACTGACCTACTAAGTGACTACTAAAAGGAAAGGCCCAGATAGCAACGTGGTTAAAAGGAATACGTGTCAGTAGACCTCGGTGTTCTAACGCACAGTATTATACTAGAAAAAAAATCAAGGGATGTTCTTGCTAGGTTTACTTAAGTGGGATTATTTTGAAATGTCACAGTAAAGTCTGAATGGGTGCTAACACATCAGTCATGACTTCAGTACCTCTGGAGGATGGGCCTGACTGCGGTTTTCATACCCGTAGTTGGATGACTTACCTCTCACACTGTGTGCACTTCATCATCTTAGATGAAACTGTAGGCTGTCCCTCCGCTGGGGGGTAGGTATGGACACAGTGAACGTATTACTTTGTTACCTTTTTTTTTAATTTGTTAGATCTCCCTTTATTAAAAGTTAATTTTTAAGTTAATCTTGCCATTTGATATTTCTTCACAGAAGAACTAACAAACCAAATCCAAATCTCTTTTCAGCCAGGAACCATGATTGAATGGGGCAATTACTGGTGAGTATACTACCAAATTATGAGTTTGTAAGTCTCATAAATAGATTATTTTAGGCCATAGTGTTAATTCTAGAACTAAAATCTGGGAATGATGTCATGATTTGATACTAGACTGTTATTTTGTTTAACATATTTGTATTATGAATTTTTTCAACTATATACAGAACTAAAGAGAGTAATACCATAGGTCCCCCCTTCCATGCCCATTACTTAGCTTTAGTAATTATCAGCACGTGGCCCGTCTTGCTTAGGTCTAAGTCCCCCAACCCAGAGTATTTGGAAGCAAGTCCCAGACAACATACCATTTCATCTGTAAATATTCTAGCATATATCTCTAAGATAAGGACTTTTTTTTAAACAAAACCCCAGTGTTGCATGAGGTTACTTCATATTCTTCTTGGATATTATGTTTTCTGAAATACTGCTTTTGTCACATAAACAGAGCACCACAATGATATGACTGCTTCTTTTTTCCTTCTTAGTTTAATTAGCAAAATACCAATTTTTCCCCAAACTGATCTGTAGATTCGGCAGAATCCCAGTCAAAATCCCAGCAGCCTTTAGAAGTGCAAAGGCCCCAGAATAGTTAGAACAACCATGAAAAGGAGGAACAAAGTTGGAGGGCTCACACCTCTTGATTTAAAAATTGACTACAAAGCTAGAGTAATCAAGATAGCATGGTACTGGTGTAAGGACAGACATGGATCAATGGACTAGAACTGAAAGACAAGAAAGAAATTCTCACGGATGTGAGCAGTTGGCTTTTGACAAATGTACCAAGGCACTTCAGTGGGGAGAGAGAGTCTTTTCACCAAAGGGTCCTGAGACAACTGGATATCCTTGCAAAGTGCAGAATTTAGACCCCCTAGCTCACATTATATACAAAAATTACCTGAAAATGAACTGTAGACCTAAATGCAAGAGCTAAAATATAACACTTCCAGAAGGAAACATGAGAGAAAATCTTTGTGACCTAGCATTAGGCAGAGTTCTTAGATACAACACCAAAATCACAATCCATAAAAAAAAGTTGATAAATTATAATTCATCAAAATTAAAAGCTTTTGTAATTCATAGGATACAATTTTTAAAATTAAAAGACAAGTCACAGGCTGGGAGAAAATTTTGCACATCACAGATGTGATAAAGGACTTGTATCCTGAATATATACAGAAATCCTACAATTCAATAACATGAACATAAGTAACCCAATTTAAAAGTGGCCAAAGGACTTGAATAGACAATTCTCCAAAGATACACAAATAGCCAAAAAGCATAGGAAAAGATGGTCAGCATCACTAATCATAAGAGAAATGCAAATCAAAACGACAATTAGATACGATCCATCTCATACGCTTTAGGAGGGCCATTATCAAAAGGACGGAAAATAAGAAGTGTTGGTGAAGATACAGAGAAATTGGAATCCTTGTGTACTGTAGGTAGGAATATAAAACGCTGCAGCCAGTATGGAAGACAGAATAGAGGCTCTTCAAAACATTAAAAATAGCACTACTGTATGACCTGGCTATCCTGCTTCTTGTTATATATTCAGAAAAATTCAAAGCAACATCTCAGAGAGAGATTTGCACACCCATGCTCATCACAGCAGTGTTCACAGTAGGTAAGAGATGGAAGCAACCCAAATATCAATCCAAAGATGAAAATGTGTTTTAAAAAAAAACAGTAAAAAAAATGTAGCATATACATACTATGGAAGATTATGCAGCCTTTAAAAAGAAGGAAATCCTACCACATGCAGGGTGAACCTTGAGAACATTACAAAATAAAACAGTCACAAAGGACAAATTCTGTATGACTCCACTAATACAAAGTTCCTAAAGCGGAAAATGAAAAGGTGGTTTCTAGGGGCTGGCTGGAGGGGGGTTGGTGTTTAGTGGGTATGGCATTTCAGTTTTGCAAGATGAAAAAGTTCTAGAGATGTATTGCACAACAATGTGAATATACTTGGCACTACTGACCTGGACAGTTGAAAATGGTTGAGGCAAATTTCATGGTAGGTGTTTTTTCTTTTCCATGATAAAGAATAAAATCATAAATCTGAAAAAAAAAATTTAATGGGCAAAGAATTTGAATAGACATTTCCTCAGAGGAGTTCTATAAATGCCTAATAAGCACACGAAAAAGTGCTCAACCTCCTTAGTCCTGATGGAGGTGGAGAGTAAACCTCAGTGAGATGCCACCTCGCACCCACGGGGATGGCTGTAACGATGGATGGTGCAGCAAGTGCTGATGAGGTGGTAGATGAGTCAGTACCTTTGTACGCTGCTGGTGAGGATGTAAAATGGTACAGCCACTTTGGAAAAGGAGAACTGTGACCTTTTTTTTTTCTTTTCTTTTCTTTTTTCTTTTTTTCTCTTGTTCATTGGCACTTTAATTTTTAATACCTTTATTGGGGTATGGTTCCCGTACAGTAAACTATACGTAATTCAGGTGTACAATTTGATGAATTTTGATAAATGTATATACCAGTGAAACCACAGCCACAATCAAGATAGCTAACATTTCCATCACTCCTCGAGAGGTGCAATTTT